AACAGGCTGGTTCTCCATGCTCCTGCAACATTCAAGTCACCATTTCTTCTCTCCCGAGCAGCCAAAAGGCCTATAGCAAAGCGAGACTCCGACCGATCTGGCTATCTACCCAGTTGAGCTGCTGTCGTCTATCACAGTGAAATGGCATCTCACCAATGGCAAAAATAAAAGGTCAGTGTTTTAAGAGCAAAGGTTAATGTCAATTTCAGTGTTCTTTAGGTCAAGTAATTCACCTTTCCCCTGTTGGGCCTTTCATTCTGTGATGCCTGAATTAGCATCATTTTATCTTCCTCCACTCCTGCCTCTTCCCTGGTTTTACTTCTTTCCTCTTTTACCAGGCCCCTCTCCATTCTTCATCCATTCTTTCCCTCCCTACTTCTCTTAGCCCCACTCTCTTTGATAGTCTTCACAAGAGTTTTCTCTGCAACATTAGAAACTAGAGCTACTATTACACATTCCATGCAGTCAATGTCTAATTCAAGTAGCATTTAGCTGAGTTACTTGCATCGAATGTGAGCTGGGTTCCTGACGATCCCGCTGGCAGAATGCTCCATGTCACCCTAGGAAGATAAATGCTATCCTATTTCCCTAACTTTACGCTTGCAAATGACAACAACTGTTCTTGCTGAAATTTTCCCAAATAATTCAGCCTGAGGCAGACACCCAACATGGAAAATTTCAGTCCACATGGTTCAAGATTGGCAAAGCTATAAGCAACTAAAACAGGGTCTTATAATGTGAAGTGTCAGGTAACCTTGAGCGTAGGAAGCAGAACCTGTAGTGCTAATACTCCGTATTTCAGTGCTAGTCCTACAAATGTATAGTTAGAACAACAGTCCATTTGCCATCATGGAACTATTTGACTGACTAATGAATCTCAGCTCCCCCTGTCTGCCTATGGGAGGTCTCTTTGAGGTGGAATTCATACACTGTGCACCGAAGCAGCTGGATGTGGGGAGGCATGCAGGTGGTGTGCAATCTGTGCAGCATGGAGTCCCACTTCCCATCCACCACCTGTGTGGAAATGAAGGGGTGGGAGAGCTTAAGCCATAGGTAGGGCTACTCTACGGATCCCTCCCCCCCATTTCTGCCCCAGGGGGAAGGGTGATGTGTGTAAGGCCTTGTGAATCTTGAACATTTTTATCAATGACTTGGATCAGAATATAAAATCATCACTGATAAAGTTTGTAGATGACACAAAAATTGGAGGCGTGATAAATAATGAAGAGAACAGATCACTGCTACAAAGCAATTTGGATTTCTTGGTAAGCTGGGCACAAGCAAACAATATATGTTTTAATATGGGCAAATGTAAACATCTTGGAACCAAGAATGAAGCCCGTACTTACTGAATGGGGGATTCTATCCTAGGAAGAATGACTCTGAAAACGATTTGTGGGTCAAGGTGGATAATTAACTGAACATGAGCTCCCAGTGCAACAATGTAGCCCAAAGGGCTAATGCGAACCTTGGCTGTATAAACAGGGGATCTTGAGTAGGTATAAGAAGTTTCTATTATCTCTGTACTTGGCACTGGTGTTACTGCTGCTGGAATACTGTGCCCACTTCTCATGTTAGCAGTTTCAGGAAGGATGTTGATAAATTGGCGAGGGTTTGGAGAAGAGCCATGAGAATGACTAAAGGATTAGAAAACATGCCTGATAGTGATAGACTCAAGGAGCTCAATCTATTTAGCTTAACAAAAAGGAAGTTAAGGGGTGGTTTGATCACAGTCCCTACATGGGGAACAAATATTTGACAATGGGCTCTTCAATCTAACAATTAAAGGTGTAACACAATCTAGTGACTGGAAGTTGAAGCTAGCACATTCAGAATGCAAATAAGGTGTGCATTTGTAACAATGAGCGTTATTAACCACTCACGCAATTTAAAGAGGGCTGTGGTGGATTTTGTATTACTGGCAATTTTTAAATCACGACTAGATGTTTCTTGCAAAGATCTGCTCTAGGAATTTTTTGGGGCGGGGGGCAGTTCTCTATGCTACACCTGATCATCACAATGGTCCCTTCTGGGACTGGAATCTTCTCCTGCCACTGGGTTCTGGAGCATCGCAGCAGCCTTAGGACAGTAGAAGGGAAGGTGTCCTTGTTGTGACACCTCCAGTGCATCTATCTAATGTTCAGCCTGGCTATCCAGTCCAGACACTGTAGTCAGGAACTGAGCCTTAGGACACAGTTCCGGAGATCTTGCACACACAGAAAAATATCTCCTACTGAATGTAATGAGAGTTGAACAAAGTCTTCTGAATATGGCCTTACATCAAGAAGTCTGCCATTTACCTCATCCCACACATGTTCCACAATGCCACCTACAGTAATTCTCATCTGCTGCTTCCACTTCATAACTGAGCATTCAAACAGTTCTTCCACATGCATGAGGGCTCGTATGCAGTCAGCAATATTCATGTCATTTTTCTGCATTCAAGCATTTTGTCAATTTTCTGTCAGTCTCTGCAGAATCTTAATTGCACCACATAATGCCTGAAAATTGCTTTCCACTGATCTTCACTTACCATGTGTGATGTCAGACTTTGAGATAAATATAGAATAGTTTCATTTGTGAATGTTAAAATTTATCTTCATTTTGCACATGATTTGTGATTTTTCTAAGGACACTGAGGTCGTATTTGATTCAGACTGGTGAAACTGGAGTAATTATTTTTTTGTTTTCCATATCATTTGTTTTTTGTTTGTTTTTCCTCAAATTTGGCTCAAAAATATGTTTCGTAAAATTGAATTTTACAAATTCTAAGACCAATATGAATATTCCACATACCTTTTTAATTCCGTACGTTTTTTCCCTAAGTGCATGCACTTCCCTCTGCAGTCTTTGCAACTCAAACATTGCGGCATTGTGTTACCGCATGAGAATTTAAAAATAAAATTGAATAGAAACAGACCAGTCTGATTTATCATTGTTCAAGCTGACTGAGAGAAAAGCACCCTGCTGCTGTCACATTCCTGCAGTGGTTTAAAAAACAATGGGGTTTTATTGTAAGATGTGAGCTAATTTCTCTGAATTCATGCTCTGTAAAAAATTCTACTGGGTTCAGTCATTTCTTCAACCCTCTCCCCACTTTCTTTCTCTCCAATCCTTCATGTGCCTTGTTGAGATCTAGGAGCAGAATATGTCCCCTTGGCTGCAATTTGTCTCTTAACGTGAGAGTAGGGTTTTGACCGCACACCTCTAAAAGGCATATTTACCAACCATGAACATGCAGGCTTTAACCTGAAAGACTGAGAAAAGCATAGAGGTCACGTCAGAAGAGGTTCTTTTCCTGTTTTTAGTAACACTATAAGAGCTAAACACACATAATGGTACAGATAAAAAGTGATGTGGCACACGGTGGGATGGGTACTGAGTACATCATAAAACTATTTCATTGCTAATTTCAGTTAGTTCCTTGTTTTGTCACAGTAATAAATCACACTGAGGCTACACAGATTACCCCAATCTCAGCAAAATAATTGCCTTAGAATAGCTTTCCACAGTCCTGGGTCCAAAGAGTGATGAACAATAAATTGGATTTCATTGACTCATTCGAGGAAATGGACTTTTTCTCGCGTTTCCTTCCAAGCCACCCTGTGGATTAAACACCAATGCTTGGGAACCACAGTCATTGCAAAAACATAGGGTCGCTGGTAATAACTGCCTTCATTTAGGATCAAAATAGACAGGCCAACCTAAAGCTGGATTAAATTTTACAAGGACCACAGACATCATTCATTGAAGTAGTCACCTCGTCACGTTTACATGCCATGTTGAGATCCATGGTGCCAACACTAAGAAAAAGATGCCAGGCAGCACTTGTTAAAAGAAAAAAAAACAAAATTTCTTTAAACACTTTGCAGTCTTCTTGGTCTGGATTTCTTCTACCACCATATTCCACATCTGGTGACTAAGGGGGCTGAATTCTGAGAGAAATCTCATCACGTCTTTATTTTTAAGATTTGCGAGGCAGGTTTAACCACAATATGCAATGATCACTTCATTACGAGCACAACCCTGTAAGTACTTACTGCCAGGCATAGCGCTAACCGCCAACAGAAACTAGGCCATGAGGCCACCTAGGGAGCAGGCCCTCGAAGAGGAAGAATACTTTCAATGGCAACGCATTCCCAACCGAAAAAAGAACCAAGACTTGTATTTCTGATAAATGCTTTACCGCCCCATCCTATGGCTGAGGCTGAATATTAAAGACATGTTATAAACTCAAATTTAAGTTTAGTACATTAATGATGTGATAGGGCTAGACTAAAGCGGAGACCGTAAATCACACCTGACTTTGTGGTACTGCATCGCTGAATCAGAAACTCTCTATGTAGGTCTTTTAACGAGAGATCCAGATTTCAAACCCTCACTGTACAAGAGTTTCTTGAATCGTGAGTTTTGGTCTTTTAACCTACTGTAAGCCAATGAGAAAGTCAGGGTTGATTGTAAAGTTTGTCATCTGTTTGCTCTCCCATCAAGGCCTTATGTCACAATCTCGACCACCAACCACTGCAGAGGGAGGGGACAGCTCAGTGGTTTGAGTATTAGCCTACTAAACCCAGGCTTGCGAGTTCAATCCTTGAGGAGGCCACTTAAGGATCTGGGGCAAAAATCAGTACTTGGCCCTACTAGTGAAGGCAGGGGGCTGGACTTGATGCCTTCCAGTTCTATGAGATAGGTGTATCTCCATATATTTATAATGAAGGATATTTGATTTCTATCTTAAGACCAGTGGCAGCAATTTTTGTCCTTGCACCAATTAAACATGCTTAATAAGCTACTTCATTACCAACCTTGCTTTAATTCAAGCATTAGGCATTAAGTCGCCTCATGTGTGTTACCAGAGATGCAAATCTTATGTTAAAAATAAACCCACTGGAGCAGCAGTGGTATTACTGTAGGACATACATGGATACTCAAAATGCATTAGTTCTCATTCTCGCTGATAGAAAACACCATTTTGCAGGAAAACTCATTGGAAAGCTTACCTGTAACGAGGAAGCTGCATCGGCCTGCCCCAGCTTCATTGATGATGTTACAATTGTAAATCCCATAACTGTCCCTGGAAAGGCTGCTCACTATGTACTCCGTAGAATCGTGAGCATCAAACTGACCAGTCCGCAGCAACTTGTTGCCCAGTCTCCACTCGTACGTCAGAACCCGAGTTGGATATGCTCTCAGCACCCGGCAACTCATAGTGATGCTTCGACCCTGGCCCTGTCGAATCTCCAGAAATGCTGGTTCCACCGCAGGAGGATCTACAGGAGACAGATTATTAGAGAAGGTAAGCTATGAAAACAACATACGTATGACAAATAACAATAACACATCCCCCAAAGGGTTACAATGCGGCAAATCTACCACGTGTCCAGGAGACCATCAATGGGAACATTCGTTAAAAAAAGTAACATCCAGAGTATTGTATTGCAATGTTTTATAGTCGATGTCCATGGAGATAAAACTTAATTTTGCAGACAGCTACAGTGTTCTTTAAAGGAGAGGAGGAGACACAACAGGAATTATTCTTTCACGTGACATACCAAGGATGGATTGCAATGGAGAAAAGGGGCCCTCCAGAGTGATGGAAACCTACACCAATTATTGGACCATGAACTCAGAGAAGAGACAAAAGGTTGGACATGGATGGAGTTCAGATTGTCTGAAAAACCTACTACCTTGATTTTTGTATTCCCAGAGGGTGAGCCTCCTTGCAGGGTGCCAGGACTACAGTGAGAAGCATGGTATAAGAACCTGAACAGAACAGAATAGGGATGATACTCTGGTACAAAACTCAGCACCCTCTTCTTTTGCAGTGGCTGAGGGTTGACATGAGATAATTTGGTAAGGTTCTCACCAGGGTGTTGCCTCCAGGAAACCAAGTGGGCAGTCCTGTCCTTGTCTTTTCCATCTACCTGTTTAGTTGCTTTACTCCTCCAGTTAGCAGATGCCTGGTAATTTTCCCATGCCCTGATCTGAAATACTATTTAAAGCTATTTAGATTTGCAATTTACACTTTGTCAGACTTTTGACTCTAATGGAATAAAAAATATGTAAACATTGATATGCCTTAAATTTGTACTTGCCTTTCGCTGGCTTTCTAATTGTAAGCCAGAAGCATTTTTTTTCAAAATCAATACTTTCTGAAAAAAATGGGTTGATTCTGACAAAATTTTATTTGAATACATCCCATTCTGACATTATCAGAATGGAATGTTTTGATGTTTTGTTTCAAAATGACTTTTAGAAACCAAATGAATTGTTTTTATATAAAACATTAAAACAATTTACAATGGTCCAAATCAAAACAAAAATATTTCTTTTTATAGGGTTTTTTTTTTTGCACAAAAATTTTAAATCTTATGGTTTTCATTCCATCTTGGAATGAAAATAAATTGAAATTGTAGAACGTCCCAGGAAAAGAAAATCTGGTTTCTGTCCTGGTCTAGCCAGAACTTTCTGAGTGGCTCTCTAGATCAGAGAAATTGGAGTATGAAAGGGGAAGACATCTGGTGGTGGATAAGCACAGCTTTAGAGAAAACTCTTAAAAGCTATGTGTCATTGTTATGCTCCTTTCAGACCAATAAAGAGAAGAAACCCTGAAAAGGCTCCTACTCCAGAAACACACGAGAAATCTACATATTGCTATTAAAAGGACTGTCTAATAGGTGTTACTTTCAGAGCCAACCCTAGGTACAGTTATTACATATTGCATGAAACCTAGCTTACTCATTCCAAACCCGTCAAAACTCCCTACAGAGAAACTGCTCTCTCATATGAAGCTTTCCTTCCATGTGATGGGTATTAATGGGGTAGAACTTTCATTCAAGGAACTGCCTGTTGAGAAGCGAAGACCTCTGCGGTTGTGTTTGAAACCGTGTAGTACAAGAGGCTTTGAATGGTGTGATAAAAGAGTGTACAGTCTCTGGAGCACAGAAAGTTACAGATCACTCCTATTTCTCGGGAGGCTGATTAAACGCTCTCTCTCTCTGACCTCTCTCTCTCTTCTTTTTTTTTGTTTCGTCTTCCTAAACGTAC